TATCGTACTCTCTGAACTCAATTGTATAGTGCCATCAAGTAGTACCTGTACCACTTAGTGTTACTAGCGAGGAATACAATGTACAACTGAACCCATTCAATAACTATGTGGATAAATCATTAGTCTGCTATTAAATCATACTAAATTGATAAAGGTTTTCATACTGTTTATACTGAACCAAAAAAGCTATGTACCTGTAACCAAGTTGTTTACATGTAACGTCAGCATTTCTTCGAGTCCACCATTCCCCACACAGAGAATTCCATCTGTACTGTTGAAATTTATCTCTCAAAAATACCATCACAACTGTGTAGATACTCGGTGGACTGAGAGTGTTAAGTCTGACTGCACCTATAATAAATCAAAATTGATGAATGGACATACAATGTATTTCCCATTGTCTGACATTTGAGATTGACTTGACCTTAACATAATAAAAACTTTGGACATTTACCGTCACCTGAGGTGTAATATAGCTGTTCTTGTTGCGACATGACAAGATTGTGCATACAATGTAAATAAAGAAACTGTGAATTCGCTGACAAAATCATTTTTGATTTGTAGTTTCATATTTTGGCATAAACAAAATGAAAAAATAATTATGTGGATATTGTAAGTTACCAGAAACATACGGAAAGAAAACTCGGAGTGAACTGATTATTACATCATTCAATTTTATTCATCAAAATGGAAATGGAACGGTGTTTTGTTTTATTTTGTTTATTGAAATGGAACGGTGTTTTGTTTTATTTTTATTCATTCATTTATTTATATATATATATATATTACACATAATGTTGACACATTATTTTCTATTTAAGTAAGCGTCTTCTGCTTCATCGGTGATGGATCGGGTCATGGTCATGGATCGAGAAAAGAATACACCTGCTGTTGTTTTTGTGCCATCTACGTGGGGGAGAAAAGCGACAAAAATAAATCTGCTGCACCCATTCAAATATTTGGGATCTTTGTATTTCTCTCTACTTTTGACTATCTCTTGTTTCCTAGCGCCCTGCTTGGCAATATGTACCTCACGTTTGGCCTTAATGTTGAAAGTTCGCCAAGGTGAGGAAGGCAATGGGTTCTGACATACCAAAGACCTTAAAAATGGTAGCTCTTATTCCCTGCTTAACGTTCAGCATTGAAGGGAATGGCAACAACTAGTTTATCTGTTTTCAGTATAATGATATTCAATAAATGCTACATCACAAAATGCATAATAGAAAACCTTAATACTGATACTGAAGTTAACGCATATCTCTTCTGTCGGCTGGTAGCCGATGTCTGTTTACAGCGTTGATCTCAACTACGTATATGGATTCATTCACTACGTTTATTTACAAGAATTTTCAAGATGTAAACAGCCTTCGGCTGCCAGAAATAAGCGTTAATGTCACTTTGTTATAAAAGTAATACCCTTAATGAGTTTTCACTTAAATATCAGATTGTGACAAATTTTCTGCAGTACCACAGCTTCACATCTTCAATAAAGGGGTTTATCTCAGCTTATGATCTAACAAANATGTTGATTTGTGTTTTTTCTCTGTATGATTATAACGATACAATGATATTGCTTTGATGATGGTGATGATGATGATGATGAGATGATGATGATAATGATGATGATGCATTGTATGAAATATAATGAGATATTGTTTTGCATTAAAAAAAGTGATGATGAAGGTGATGAGAATGATGATGAGGATGGTGCATGTCTGTGAGATGTGTTGGTAATGAGGCTATTGTTTATGATGGATGATGCTTGCTGAATGATGATAATGATCATTGCTAATTTGATGAAGATGTATATTGCACATGAAAATGAAATAAAAATCAAATAAAAAAAATAAAAAAGTAATACAAAAATGTAATTGGGTTTCTGTTATGTATTTTGTGGTGTAGTATTGCTTCATGGTGATTTTTAATTCTCTGTACATCCATAAATATACAATATATACTTACCAAAGTAAAGCAAATGTTTAGAAATGTTTACCTCCGTGGGATATGTAGTGATATGTAATTGTTCATGATTCTGTCTTGATTAAGGCACAGAGGCCTCGAAACTTTGACAAATACGTGTGTCTGCACTGCCGCTTTTATTTATTGTATATCGTATATATCCTTACAGACAAAGAAATAATAAATTCTTAACAACAAGTCCTTAGTACTTGCATCTCTTCAAAGAGATTATTCACCCTGTTTATTTTAAAGAAATCATAAAATATGACGTCACATAATAGGTCACTTTAGGTCAATAGATATATTAGCAATACAACTTACGAATTAGAATAGTTTTGACTTGTGTCCTGTTGGAGTCATTTAACGTTCACGTGCAAACAAGTCGCCCTGCCGAGAAAATATCTGCAGATCTGTCCATTACACCATCGCGATGAACAATGCGATGTAATGGTCAGAGCTGCACATATTTACCATAGAAAGCATGACAATGATTTCAATTAATGCGTGCTCAAATGGAATGATCACTTAATATTATCAGTTTCAAGTGTAATTGACTCTTTAGCTTTTGTTGAGGTAATTGTCATTATCACTCCATAATGACAGTCATTCTCGTGCGGTTATACCTCTTGCGCGTAGATATATATACACCATGTACATAATTATGTGTACGTCAACAACCTGGGGATTTCCATTGCTTTTTTCGGACGTTAACAGAAGTACCAGGGATACGAGATTTGTAAACAAATGATAAATCTCCGAATAAAAACCACATATAAAATTGAAAACGATACCATTTCTCATGTAATAAAAGTTAGCAAGTACGTAAATTGTTTTGTCACCCAAGGCTGATGCAAGTGACGGCAACATGCATGGCGATTGTTCCTCTTGGGAACGTTGACGTTATCGCTTAATCTAACACAATCACGCGTCCAACCCAAAGTAATCCCGACATTGACAGGCCTCCCACACAAACTTCCATCTCAAATTCGTCGATTTTGTTTTCAATTCAGTCCGGTATGTTGACAAATTCATCGATCACAAGCTGCTTCTTCAACTTCAATATCAACAAACAATGACTGACTCCGGCGAAGCGCGGCGCGAAGCGTAACCGTGTCACACATCGGGCTTGAATGGAATATTTGTAATCCTTCCGCGGAATATAGTCCGGATAAAAGAACGCGTTATAAGGAAAACCTTGATAGAACTATAAACATAAGGATTTACTTTCTATATAGTTTCGGTTATCGGTTGGTAACTACAATCGAACTCGGGTAAATTGAATAATCAGCGAAGCCGATTATGATTAATTTACCAGAGTTCCATTGTAGTTATCACCCGCTAACTTAAACTAAATATAAAGTTAATCCTTATATTCATATTTATATTTTTATATTTATATAAATAATCGGCGAATTATGCTTAATTTACCCGAGTTCCATTGTAGTTATCACCCAATAACCTAAACTAAATAGAAATCCTTAAATATTATGACCAAAAGTATACATAAATATATATATATACGTCATAATTGACCAATTTAGAGATCTTCTACGACACAATTAACGGCTTCCTGCTCGTTTTTATCGGATTGTTAACTTTCAATTGATACCCTGTGTTTGACACATTTGACCACTGTGACCTTGAACAATTCTATAGGACAGGGGCCGTTGAATAAATTCCGTCACCACATAGCTGCCCTACGAACGGGCAATAAAATATGTTAGCGCCTTGGCAGATTGCAAAAGCATGTAGAGTACAATGCAAGTGCACATTTTTGACATCATCCGGCAAGAATTGAACAAGTTATTCATTGTTTAATGGTATGCACTCGTAACTAGTGGCTTCTATTTCGGCGACCCGTACGTGCGGCGTCTAAAATTAGGCCGATAGTGGTCTATAATATCTCCCGGCGTCCTAACGGTTCCCCAAAAAACTCTTCGCCCGGGCGCCTTTTCGGAAATCGGCGCCCATGTGACTGAAGTTTTACCAACGTTTTCCTGGTTTTTTTACATAAGGGAGAACGGAAAATCAACTAATTAATTGCACACTGAAGAAAGTTTTGTGAAACAGAATTATTAACGGCATGCGTTTAATATTTCATTAAACAATTATGAATCTTGAATTCATGTGCTCACCTATCATTATTACAATGTACAAAATGTATATAGATTACAACATTTAAATGTACATACCAGCACAAAAACAACTACCGCTTTCGGAACAAGGATTGTTATATAAATAGAAATAAAAACCATATCTGTAAACAAAACACCTGCCGCCTTAGTACAAGGATTGTTATTTAGATTAAAACAATGTTAAACTAAGCTTGCACACAAAACACCTGCCGTCTCGCTACAAGAATTTTTACATGGATTAAAACATTGCTTTATTTGCACCTTCTGTTTCGGTACAAGGTTTATATTAAGATTAAAACAATATGGCATCTGCACGATAAATACCTACTGTTTCAGTATATTTTCCTATGGATTAAAACAATGTCATACCTGCACACAAAACACCTGCCGCCTCAGTGCAAGGATTGCATGCTTTCTGATTGTCAATTGAGCAATTCGAAAGGTTGGTTTCATATCCAGTTGGGCAGACATAACGAGCAGTTAGGATTCCTTTTCTATCCAAAGGCACATTTGCCGATATGCCACCACTGAAATGTATTGCAAAGCGGATAAAGTTTCAATTGTTTAATACCTTCCTACTGGGCAGATAATATATCCCAGTACGTAAAACATGATGACTCTCTGTTTGGCTCTTGGTTGGATTTGTGGTTGCGTCATACTGACGTTTCTTGAGGTTTAGAGACTTTGACCGCTAAGCGTTGACAAGTGGTTGGCCTGAGACCGCTTAGCGTTGACCTGGACCGCATATGCGGGTCATGATACCGCTACGCGGTCGCGATCGGGTCAAACGCATGGCGGGTCACCGCTGTACGCTGTAAACCCATTGTCAGCGCTTAGCGGTCAAAGTCTTAGCCCCTCAAGTAACGTCAAAATGATATAACCATAAAACCCCGTTGCGAAGGACGTCATCTTGAAACGCCGTTGCTAACAGTCCCTACACATAGTCATCATAACTATTAATACTGTCATGGAAGTTTCGTAGAAGAACGCTAAACTTAACGAGGTCCTCTACGATCTAAATGTAAAATATACAAGAGAAGGCACCTTTTTAAAACTATGCATTTTTAAGGTTTATTTAACATTCATTGATCACTGTAAGAGATTCATTAAATGAAAACTCCGTACAAACATGATTTTGAAAATACAATAGGACCAGGAAGGTAATTATTTTTCACTGGTTGACTGTGACAATTTGATATTTTTCTTGACATTTGATTGAAGACACAATTTAGTGAAGTCTCCTGCGTTTTACAGTGTTTAGTAGTCAAGGTATTCGTGATATTTTTAGTGATAGACCCTAAAATTATGTAAGGAGTCTGTATGACGAACCTGAATCCCAGTTCCTTACAGGCCGCGTTGGCGGAGTAGTTTGTCCAGCATTCTCCACATAACGGGTTCCAGGTTTGTTGGGAGTCGTAGTATATCTCTATTCCTCCCTCGTACTTGGTTTTATGTCCATACAGTCGCACTGCAAAGACATTCAGATGGTGAAACTAAGAATTATATTGTGCATTACATGTTTTGGATACTGGTTGTAAAACTAGAAACGCAGCATACAATTACGAATTTATATAAAAATTAAAAGTTGTTTTAACGACCCAGTTATACTAAGGTAGGAGGTAAATGCTATACATTGTTTGTAAGAGTTGTCATATTTTTTTCGGACTGTATTCACATTAACAGTCTGAAAACAAACTACCACGTTTTTCTATGCAAACGTTACATACTCGGGCACATATCAGGAGAACGTCATTTTGACATGTTTGCTGAATCAATGAATGAGGAAAAATATCTTCCGTGTATTGAACTGTAAGTGACATCATTATTTTTAGCATATGTCTACTGTGAGGTCAAAATATTAATGATCATTTATTCTTTTGTACTTAAACTATAACATCATCATTATTCATTTCGAACTAAACAGTCCAATGAAGAACCCCTGCAGAGGTGAAAAAAATGCCTTTGCTATTTAACTTTCATAATCGCCTTTCTTCACAAAGACTCGCTGTTCTTTAGTAAATATTCAAGATAGAAACAACTACATTCCAAAGTCTGATTTAAAAACCAACGGTTGGAGAATTACACTAACTGTAAAACAAGTAAGCCCATTTATTTCTTTGACACTATTAATATATGTAAGATCTATGACGTCACGTTATACTGTTATTGCGAACTTGAAGAGCTTATAAAGTAAAGATGTAAGTGCGCAATGTAATGTTGTGTCTATGTTTTTTTGTAAAACTAACTTCACTTTCGTCCAGTGTGATATTATGCAAAAGTAGGTTCGTGTGCTGACCCATGTTTATGTACCTGTAGTTATATAAAAAAAACTCCTCTTAAAACACAAATATACATGAATTATTGTACATGTTCTTTAAGTTTAATTTGAACAGGATCATATTACATATGCTTAAAAGTATATCTAATTAAGTCTGAGAAAGTGTTTTAAACATTCTAAATTTATAATGTATGATTAAGATATCCTTACCGTTACCCGATGAAGCTATGTCCACCGAAACGAAAAGCAACAGCACATAGTAAGTCCTCCATAACAAGCGGTCTGAATTAACTGCCATGTTGGTGTTATTTAACGTGTTTGAGAGGGTGTGTATGCTTCGTTAACTGGGCAGTGTGTATGTTCCTCAAGCTAACTCGTCACACCGAGTATGAGTAATTGGAATGATGGGATGGGACACTTGATACGACCAATGGATGCTGTCAGATGTGTATAAGATAGTTTATTACATGACTTCCTGTTCTTGTATTTTTATAGTTCGTGTTATATATATATATATAGGATCTTACATGAGTTTCCATCTCATATCATATTTTTGAAACGAGTCTAATAATTTTTCAATTTAGCGAGCCTCTGGCGAGAAAAAATGAAAAATTCTGGACGAGTTTCATAAATTTCATATGAAATGCAAACGAGTGTAAGATTCTTTTTAACACATAATCAAGAATTGTGGTATTTATTCTTGTAAAACGACAATTTTCATGCAACCTTCAAACGTGTGAAAAAGTCGCCATTTTGACTCCAGTGGGAAAACCTGTGACGTCATGTGCTTGTCCTAGGCGTGACGTCACAATTGAAACAGTTGAAACTTACAACCAATCGCAGGGCTGATAGGTCATACTACATGGGCTAATACGCAAAACAAAATATGGCATGTGTATCTGCACTGGATAACACAGTACATTATGTGATAAAACCCTTCAGGCGATTTGATTGATCACATCCATAAGCGTGCAGACCAAGCTACTATTTTTTACTACAATTGTATAAAAGAAAAAATAGGCGGCCTCTATGAATGTAAATATCAATGACGGCAAAGCAGAAGGTGGCAATCCCAGACAATCCAGGTAGGTGCCCGGTTAAATGTGGATCAAGAGATCCCTTTTACAAAGCGGCTCACACAGGGCACTATGAAAACGGTTGATCATTTACCATTGATTAAAACGAAACAACGAGAGTAAATACATGCAAGTGTACACATTTTTTCTCTGTGAATCACTAGATATGTAATATTGTCCACTGATTTTCGGTGTCATTACTAAATTGCCCCCATCACAAAGAGCAAAAGTGACCAAATTTGATTATGGTAAAATTTTCCCCGTATACAGAAGATTAACAACTCATAATTAATAATGATTTACAAAATATGCATAGCGCATTTTTTCATAGAATAAATCTAAAGCTTTGACTAATCGGTTCTTTAACTACAATATTCACAAAGGAAAAAATGTCAGAAAATGTTTCAAGTGAGACATAGTCGTGTAAAACAGGACAAAATGAAATATCTACTGTTCATTTAGGGGTTTTCAAAAACTTTTTAAAACAGCTGACGGTCCAAATTATGGAGATAGGTCTGAAGGCTGTTCCACAATGCTGATACGGATTTGTTTTATTGTAAATCATCAGTTTCTGTCAGTGAAAATGTGGAGTCAATATGACGCCATGCCTTGTGGTCCTGTTAGCGGGGAAGGTACAATTGTACAATGATTTATCTACGGGACATTGGATTTTGTTTTACGAAAGGCTTCGAGTAAGTGAATAATAATTTTGTATTTTGTACTTCGCTATTCTACTAGAAGCCAGTCCATGTTCTTCGGAGACGTTTCAACAGAGCTCTATCGATTCTACAAAGTTTTCCAAACGTCTAGTCAAATGTCGCAACCCATGGACAAATACTTTGGAGACGTCTGAGACCAGGAACGGACAGCTGCAACCACAGTTTCTGACATTTAATACACAGGATTTAGTTGAGTAGTATCATCTTTTTATCATAGTCAGAGAACCACCAGCAAGCATGATGACCTAATACCTTACACATGGCAAGTCGATGGTACAAACTCTAAGCTTGAATGACGATGTTCTATGCGCGATGCGTTGTCTCGTTTTAATATCAACCCATCAGATACTCGTCAAACAATTATCCGTCATGTAGTTGTCCCTAGGTTGTGTGATCATCTACATATACTGTCTGCATGCATGCAGCAACGCATAAGATTTCGGAACACCAAAGTCAAGAGTTCTGCTAAAAAGAGAAATCGCTGCTTCACTAACTCGTGTCTCTCTGTGAAACTGTCTCGGTTATATCGTATATGAATTTTGTTTAATCTTTAGTTAGTGTCGTGTGTGTACATTGTCAACAACAAACATAAGCTCTGTAGAGCTTTTATTACGACACCGGTAAGGGAACAAACGATATTACATGTATAATTACACACTAGTATCCCCCCTCTCCCCCCCTCTCCCTCCCCCTTCCCCCTGTTCTCTCTCTGTCTCTCTCTTATAATTTCAATTGATAAATTAAAGCATTAAAAAATGTAATAGTGTATATATGTTTATTAATTCTGTCATCATGTTGTACTATTGTAAATATATGCTTGTAATTTGCTAGGACAGAGCTAAATATAAGTTTGATAACTTGTGTCAAATCCATTTGCTTGGCAATAAAATATGTTTAAACTAAAACACCGTCCCATCGGAGGGATAACAACTAACCCTATCAGACATCACTCTCTTTTCCGCCACCGCTGGGGATCGAACCGAATTTCTTGGGAAATTGAGTGGTCTGAAGTTCACGCTTGATTGTGCATTAGTAAAGACTGTGCGCGTTAGCGATCACTGCTACCGAGGCACCCTCGTATATCTCGTATATTATATGAGATATCTTATATAATATATATACTGTATGAGATATCGTATTTAATTTGATGAAATACATGCACGACATTGTTGCTTGAATAAATGTAAGGTTGAACCTGAAGATCAACTAAATTAAAAGCAAACTCCAAAAATTCCGTATTCGTCAATATTGACGGAGGAAGGTTTATAGTAAGATGAAGAATGAATTAGTGTACATCTCTCCATCATGTTAATACTGTCACCTATATCATACTGTATAATACATACAAAATACTGTCATCTATATCATACTGTATAATACATTCAAAATACTGTCATCTATATCATACTGTATATTACATACAAAATATTGTCACCTATATCATACTGTATAATACAAACAAAATACTGTCACCTATATCATACTGTATAAAACATACAAAATACTGTCACCTATATCATACTGTATCATACATACAAAATACTGTCACCTTTATCATACTGTATAATACGTACAAAATACTGTCACCTATATCATACTGTATCATACATACAAAATACTTTCACCTATATCATACTGTATAAAACATAATAAATTATATCACCTATATCATACTGTATAATACATAATACATACTGATTTTCCGAATTACGTGGATTACAGGGAATCAAGACAATGATACTCCGGAAAAAGGCAATATTTGAGTACGTCCCTCAAAAGATCCGTGATTTACGTACACGAAAATGACCAGGACGGATATAAATTTACAAACAACATCTACCGGAACTCAATCCTCTATGACGGTGATGCGATAATGCTTTCAACGACGAGACTCGTTATCCATGNACAAAATACTGTCACCAAGATCATACTGTAAAATACATAATTAATTCTGTCACCTATATCATACTGTATAATACATACAAAATACTGTCACCTACATCATACTTTATAATACATACAAAATACTGTAACCAAGATCATACTGTAAAATACATAATTAATTCTGTCACCTATATCACACTGTATAATACATACAAAATACTGTCACCTATATCATACTGTATAAAACATACAAAATACTGTCACCTATATCATACTGTATAATACGTACAAAATACTGTCACCTATATCATACAGTATCATACATACAAAATACTTTCACCTATATCATACTGTATCATACATAATAAATTATATCACCTATATCATACTGTATAATACATAATACATACTGATTTTCCGAATTACGTGGATTACAGGAAATCAAGACAATGATACTCCGGAAAAAGGCAATATTTGAGTACGTCCTTCAAAAGATCCGTGATTTACGCACACGAAAATGACCAGGACGGATGTAAATTTACAAACAACATCTACCGGAACTCAATCCTCTATGACGATGATGCGATAATGCTTTCAACGACGAGATTCGTTATCCATGTATACTATTATATTGTACTCTTTAAGCTTATATGAAACGGACATTCTCATCCTTATCAGGCTTTACTTCNTGACCCCATATAAACCTTTCACATCCAATCCGATTATCGGGAAATCGAACCCCGTCCGCCTTGTTGAAAGGCGAGTGCGATGGTCTGGACTTAAATAAGCAAAGTATGTATATGTGTAATATCATAATTTTTTCCTTATGCGTAACGAATCTGGTTTGGGTATAACACGCTAAATATATGGAATAGTATAATGTATTCCTTAATATTATACATAGCATGAACATGATTTGGGTTTAACGTGTTAAATATTTAGAATATTATAATGTATTCTTTAGACGTAACGAATCTGAAACAAAAAAAAAGTGAACAAACGGCGACTTATTGTTTATTTTCTATACGAGTTTCCGCCAAATATTTTGGTCTTCAAAATGATGGGTAATGAATGATAAATATAGTCCCGACGTCGAAAATACATAGTGGTATAAACGCCATGTTATATACAGTATTCTAGAGGATAGTAGTTGTATTTACACCAGGTGCAAATTTCATCAAAATGCACATCTTCATTAGTTCCCTCAGATAATTTATGCAAGATTTATTTTCAAATCGGATACTTTAACTTTAAAAATCCTGAATCAAATAGTAAAAAAAATAAAGTGCAACAATCTCCGATTTTGTTTTCAATTTTAGTCAGAGATATTTGGTGGCTACAAAATAAGGCTACTTAAAAAACCGCCGTAGATGTTCAAATATTAATATAATGATCCATCATATCCTTAATCTATAGTAGGTGCGAGGGACAAATGGCACGTCGATGGTACAACCTCTAAGCTGGAATGAAGATGTTCTATGAGCAATGCGTTGTCTCGATTCAATTTCAACATAGTGGAACCCATCAGATACTCTTCAAACAATAATCCTACATGTAGTTGTCCTTAGGTTGTGTGATCATGTATATATACTGTCTTCCTGAATGCAGCAACACATATTATTTCGGAATACCAAAGTCAAGAGTTCTGCTAAAAAAGAGAATTCGCTGCTTCACTAACTCGTGGCTCTCTGTGAGACTGTCTCCGTTATATCGTACNCGTTGTACGAGTCTCTTTTACCGGCATTATATATAAACTCTATATATTTCACATCAATTATGAACCAATTTCTTATAAATTATATCACTATATATTATACATTGTATATCTCTTGTTGGCCCAAGTGTAATCGCGCGGGTGTCTTTATGTGGGAGGAAACCGGAGTACCCGAAGGAAGCCCACGTGCTCAGGTAGGTGACCCCATATTAACCTTTCACATCCAATCCGATTATCGGGAAATCGAACCCCGTCCGCCTCGAGTGCGATGGTCTGGACTTAAATAAGCAAAATATGTATATGTGTAATATCATAATTTATTCCTTATACGTAACGAACCTGGTTTGGGTATAACACGCTAAATATATGGAATAGTATAATGTATTCCTTAATATTATACATAGCATGAACATGATTGGGGTTTGACGTGTTAATTATGTGGAATATTATAATGTATTCCTTAGACGTAACGAATCTGGAACAAAAAAGTGAACGAAAGGCGACTTATTGTTTATCTTTTATACGAGTTTCCGCCAAATATTTTATCTTCAAAATGAAGGGTAATGAATGATAAAAATAGTCCCGACGTCGAAAGTACGAGGTGGTATAAACGCCATGTTATATACAGTATTCTAGAGGATAGTGGTTGTATTTACACCAGGTGCAAATTTCATCAAAATGCACATTTTCATTAGTTCCCTCAGATGATTTTATGCAAGATTTTTTTTCAAATCGGATATTTTAACTTTACAAATCCTGAATCAAATAGTAAGAAAGAAATCTCCGATTTTGTTTTCAATTTTAGTTTTGGTGGCTACAAAATAAGGCTACTTAAAAAACCGCCGTAGATGTTTAAATATTAGTATAATGATCCATCATATCCTTAATCTATGGTAAGTGCGAGGGATCTGCGATTCTGCATCCGATAATAGAATTCCCATTTTCCCGAATCTACTGTCGGACTCTTTCTGGTTTCCATTTCTTCCTTTGCTTTTAGTAAAACTCGGCACTCACATTGCGAGTTAATATTCTAAGTGACATACAAATCAATTACAATTAATGTTCTAATTAATTTTGTACTCACTATTCTACTAAAAGCCAGTGCACGTTCTTCGGAGACGTTTCAACAGAGCTTTATCGAATCTACAAAAGTCTAGTCAAATGTGGTAAATCCATGGACAAATACTTTGAAGACGTCTGAGACCAGGAACGGACAGCTGCAACCATAGTTTCTGACATTGAATTAACAGGATTTAGTTCAGTAGTATCATCTTTTTATCATAGTCAGAGAACCACCATCGAGCATGATGACCTACTACCTTACAAATGGCACGTCGATCGTACAACCTCTAAGCTGGAATGAAGATGTTATATGAGCAATGCGTTGTCTCGTTTCAATTTCAACATATTGGAACCCATCAGATACTCGTCAAACACTTATCCTACATGTAGTTGTGTGATCATGTATATATACTGTCTTCATGCATGCAGCAACACATATGATTTCGGAATACCAAAGTCAAGAGTTCTGCTAAAAAGAGAAATCGCTGCTTCACTATCTCGTGTCTCTCTGTGAGACTGTCTCCGTTATATCGTATATGAATTTTGTTTAATCTTTATTTAGCGTCGTGTACATTGTCAACAACAAACATAAGCTCTGTAGAGTTTTTATTATGACGCCGCCAAGGGAACAAACGATGTTTTCGTGGAAACCACTTGGTCTTGGGATGTCTTCGTAACAGGATCTGTGTTTGTTTTCAATTTGTACCTTGGAGCTATCAAGAGGACTTTCAACTACACACAGCAAGAAGGTTAGTATTAAACAAGGAATACCAGTTATAGTGTACCAGACATGTGTCGGTCACTAGAAACTAAATAATGGGCAATTACAAACCAAGAATATATATTAATAGAATTTCTACTACTAATGTCAATACGTTGATCACTAGGTGTTAATGTCTACGGTGACCTAATGTTTATCAGCAGCGACACCAGCCTAGCGGAGGGTTGGTTAATATGATATAATAGCATGAAGTAGTGATATTTTGTGTCATTATGCTGTATGTATATATTTCCACTTTGTCATGTTTTACCATTGAACCATGTGTATTTATTATTATTTATAACTGTGCTTTAGTTTGTCATTGTGCGATGAGTATACATTATTAGTATGTTTTAGTGCTGTGTGTTTATAATTACCATATTAAAGACCTATGTGTATATATTATTACTATGTTATGTTGTTATTATGTGTCAATTTGCTGTATGTATATTACCATACAACACTGTGTTATTGTGTGTGTTGTTAAAACATGATGAATATAAATATTTTCATAATCAATTATGTACTTTTTTTGGTGATCTATATCATAATTATATTTAATTTATTGTGTTGACATGATATCATTGTATTTTTCATAGTATATTTCTGTTACCCGACAATTTACCAATTTATCTAAATAGGTGAACTGGTATCAACTGACAGTGTGGTCTTTATCATCATTTAGTATTAGCATTTCAACTTCGATTATTAATTCCATCAGCAGCAAGTACACTATTGAAAATGAACACTGTAGGTAAGTGATAATATATCAAACCATAGTGTTATCTCCAGATCACATAGCTTGCTTTGGTAACAAATTATTTGTAAGAGAAGGAAATATCATTGTCTAGTGCCTGTCCAAAGTTATATACACAAACTGATTTTTTCAGTAGAACTACAGTCATCGTTGCTGTATTTGGGTCAAGGGTTTGGCATCATCCCCGGGATGATTTTTCGATAGGTTTGGGCCTGCCTGGACTTCCGCCGTCGGCCTCGTTCTGGCTGTTAGTTCGTACGTGTTCCTGTGGACTACCTCCAAGGCAGTCTGATCCGGACAACTTGGAAAGCTTCCCTCAGCTGATGCTGCTCGTGGCAATATCATTCGCCGTTGTCAACAGTCTATGTATTTTATTCTAGAGAAGGCTTCCCGAGAGCAAGGAAAGGGCAAATCAATCCATATACTACGAGGATATAAACGGAATACCGAACGATTTGAGCAAAATGTTGGAAAAGGACGCGTCAATGTCAACAACATGCCTGGCTGGAAACTGCAATTTTCACGCTTTACTATGGGTGTTTACTTTAACTTCATCCGTCGGCGTGTTTGTGACGAATAACCTGACGAAGATAGCCACGAGTGTAAGACTAGATCGTCATAACCCTACTCTGGTTCTTCTGATCCCCGTCACAACCATGGTAGTCAGTATTCTGATTGGAGTCAGGAATAAAATACACACATATATACCGAAAGAATTGTTTTGATCTTCGATACATCCGTTTCATAGTAAACCTACTGATGAATCGTTTGTTAACTTCTATTAAACATGTCACACAAAATAGGTTTAAGAATTATAATGATATATTCCAGTATAAATATGTGTATGTACATGTATACAATTACTATATAGATATATACTACAAAATGTTCTGAAATAAAGTATTACGTAGGGATATGAATTTCCCCCATCCTTCACAGGTGTGTCTCCCGTTTTAGTCGGGAAAGATCAGCTTGTCAACCCCGAGGGGGAGATAACCTCGTGCCGATTAGCACGTGTTCAATTGAGACGTCATTAAAATGCGTCACTGGTAATTGTGACGTCATCAAAAGTGAATGACGATATTCATACCCGACATGTGTTTTTGTTTACGCTTCTGATGATGGAGTTGTGACTGAAATAACAGAATGGAGGAAAACAATCATCCCCTACCTTGAGGGTGTCACAGAGTAATCTCCAACCCTCGGAGTAATTTCTTGACCAAGATCCTGGACTGGACAGACGTACCTGCATAGCAGAGCCGTTTCCGGAAAAGATTGTCATCACTCACAGTCGTCAGACTGCCTGTATGCTTGAGGATAGTCCAGAGCAGCTGTGGTGAGTAAGCATATAAGGCTAATCGCAACATTTCGGCAGGGCCTCGGGTTAGACAACCACAAACAATCACCCCTCGGGTGGAGATTTCTCTGTCACACCTTCAAGGTAGGGGAAGATTCTATTAATCTTTTTCATATTTACGATTGATTTGTAGTGATACTTGATTTTTTGAAACAAAGTGACAAATATCCAAAGTCCGTAATTACACAGATTTAAACCATCTTATAATAATATAATATAATTATAATGATAGTAATACTACTTTATATCTAATGGGGTGAAAACGTGTGTGTCATTAGGGAAGGTTAACGACAACCTAACTGAGTTTCTTCAATATCGTTGACAATGTACATATTTCAGTCCTTTCAAAACTGCACCGGGCATGGACATTATGCAAAACTCATTTCAAACTAAGTGAAAATCAATGACAAATACAAAAGATGTTTATCGGAGACGAACAATCTGTCAAAAAGGAGAAAGTGCCCATAACCTTATTACGCACATATTATGCTAATAATTGAAACTGGCCAGCATACCCTTATAATTTGACTAAAATATATTAATATTAAGAGAAATTAAAACTGAAGAAATATCCTTAACCTAAAACAATTGAATATGAATTTCGCATATCTCTTATCAATTTTGGAATATTGTATATATTAATATTCTAGGAAAGTTATCGGTACAAATGAATGTTTGGTAAAAGAACGGACTGAAAACACCTTCTGCTCTATTGAACCGAAGATGGAGGACAACTAGATAAAATATTTTTGTTTAGGGTAACTCATCGGTGTCTGTATTGTAGATAAAATCGTCGTTGTACACACACGACGATTTTGGATCTTGGAATTCGTCATATTGTCCTTCTTCCATCCCAGGTTTAGTGTGATCGTAGATCCCCGACTCGTCCCTATTTTCTTTTTTCCTCTCAAAGACATCGTATTCACTACCGAATGGTTGATTTGTGTTTGTGTGAGAGTAAAAATCGTCGTCATCAATTCCTACGGGATTCCTCTCAGCCCCTGAAGTTTTACCCAGAATTCCGTAACCATAGTGATCGGTTTCTATCGCTGGACCAGCCTTCCCATGTGACAGGTGATCAGGGTCTTCCTGGTCGGCGACCGGAGTAGCAGTGTTGTTGTATCTAACTTCTAGTTCAGTATTTATGGAACCGCTAGTTTTACCGCCCTTGGAAAGTTTATTTCTAAAACGAAAGATTAAGTTTGTATTACAGAATCGTGAAGCGAGACAATTGTCATAAACAATTACGTTAATATTTGATTTATATTTTTACACCGATATTTGAACTGAAACTTATACATTACCCCCATAAGTTCTGAAATAATGTTTAAAAATGTATTGGGAGTGGTTAGATAAAACAGAGTGAATAACAACTATGCATAACCGTTTAGCCAGACTTGATTCTAGTAGGCTTTACAATTATATTATTTTACCGATATATCACATGTTGTATTCAAAAGTTGTTTATGTGTAACGAAGGGTTTTATAGGTATGACTCTCTTTCGCTCCCTATCGCTGTACTCCTACATATGATTCTAACACTTTAGACGTGGATAGTTTATCCTTTAGACCTCTAGTACCACTGATGAGTCCGAAATGGACGAAATGGCATGATGGAGCAGTATAATGTTTACTTTGTTAGACCTTTAGTACCACTGATTAGTCCTAAATGGACGAAATGACCGTATGGTGCAGTATAATGTTTACCTTGTTAGACCTCTAGTTCAACTGTCGAGATACTTTGTTAGACCTCTAGTACCACTGATCAGTGCCTAAATGACGAAATGGCCGTATGGAGCAGTATAATGTTTACTTTGTAAGACCTTAAGTACCACTGATAAGTTCCTAAATGAACGGATAAACCTATCGAGCAGTATAATGTTTACTTTGTAAGACCTTAAATACCACTGATTAATCCCTAAATGAACGAAATGGCCGTATGGGGCAGTATAATGTTTACTTTGTAAGACCTTAAGTACCACTGATTAGTCCCTACATGAACGTAATAACCGTATCGAGCAGTATAATGTTTACTTTGTAAGACCTTAAGTACCACTGATTAACCCCTAAATGAACGAAATGGCCGTATGTTGCAGTATAATGTTTACTTTGTTAGACCTCTAGTACCACTGATGAGTCTTTAATGGACAAAATAACCGTATGGTGCAATATACTGTTTACCTTTTTAGACCTCTAGTACCACGGATGAGTCCTTATTGGACAAAATAGACGTATGGTGCAATATAATGTTTAGTTTGTTTATTTTCTTCATTGGCATACTAATTTTTCTTTCATACTTCGTATTTTTATTGTTTATTACATCAACACATATCTCTGTCTAATAAGTGTTCTCTTATTGTTACATTGTAGCTGCACCCGACACAATTTTTCGCAAAGGTTTGAACTCGCTCAGAACTTATATCTTATGGCGTGAAATATAATGCATATATTTCAGCGTCATCACCAAATGACAATATCTGAAAACGAATGTCGATCATAAATAAAGCAGCAACAGGATATGAAGAAACATCAAAACAAAAAGCTAAATATGGACCACTGCACACAACCAGATAAAAAAAACAAGGTGTTTCGGAAGGGTAATTGATCCATGTATCTTATGTTGCACTTCTCATAATGTCTTCCGTATATATTTTTGCCATTACAACGTAGGTAATCAACTTGTTTTCTTTAAGTTATCTGGCTTCATTCAAATCAGTTGAAAAACAGGGTTGAGGAATATAGTAGGGTTCTGAGACGACGTCTGTTTCCCGAGGCAAATATATACATATACGGCCACCTTTGTCCTGATACCACACGACGCTATTCAACAATAAATGTTCTTTCTTAAACAGCGCAATACGCTCAATTTTTCAATTTGTTTAATCACTTTACGACTTACATAACGTAATGCTATTCGACACCTTTCGACTGGCACTATCCTGATACTAAAAGATACCATACGATCAGATGCAATTTTATTCTGTGC